TAGTTACCATTAGCATTGAATATTCAATGGTTTACTAAAAAACACATAGAAGTTCATAGGTATACTGAAATGTTGTACATATTCAATTTTGGCATAAACCTAAGTTCAGGATTCATATTGAATTATCTGTCAGTAACCACTGTTATTAAATGAATATGTATGTCAGATAACATGTATATTTTTTTCAAGATAACTCTTAAAATCTTTGAAAACTATGGTGTTTTTGACAGGGAAAGATATATGATGTGTTCTATGTATAAAAACTTTTCTCCAGCAGATGCATGAATATAACTCAGAACTTATACAGAATATATTTCACACAAATTTAAGGAGGAAAATTTAAATAATGTTTTAAACTTACATGGAATCTCATATTCATGTACAGGCATTAATTTAAAATAGCTCTAAGTCTGGTGGTAATGTTAGGTTTAGTGTTGCATAATGAGTTTGTTTGGGTTTTGCTAAGAGATCCTATAGGTCTCAAAAATTATGTATGATTAACAGAATGTTCACATCAAAATAAAATGTAAAATATAGGTAATATGTACTAATTACTTAATTACTACTGTAAAACAGTAGTAATTCCTGATATTTATGTAACACTTTGTATAGCTTAGTAAACAGATGAATTATGTTATGGTGTTAAGAGTAAAAATGTAGGAATATATGTGTTGGAAACTAGGAATTGATTTAAAAACATGGGGTTCAATGGATGTATCTCATGTTGAATATGAAATAATTTAAAGGCTAATGTATCAATGATAAAAATGTATAATTCAAAAAGCCCATCCCATTTCATATGAATATACATTAGTTGATAAACTAGGTATAAATGACAGCGGTAATATTAGGGTTACTATTCAACATTGAATGGGGTGAGTGTGAGTAGTAGAAAATGACTTTGTATACCATGAAATGTGAATATTCCTGTTACTGGTCTTGTGAACATATGCATAAAAGTCCACATACATGCACATTTTCAATGCATATCTGAGTACACTGTCACTCATATATTCAATGTCTCATAATTTGTGCATTGTCTATACATTAAGTACATGATCCTATACTAATACATATCAGGATATGCCATGGATAATTTAATTGATAGCTGTCAAGCTACAGATAATATCTTTATAGCGTCCATGTTTTCATGTATATACTGGTTTAGTGGTGGAGGTCTGGTTAGGTTGCATTTGTCTTTCAGTCCAAATTTATGCTGACTTTGTGGTTAGGGAATTGGTACCACAAAACATGAAATATATATATATATATATATATATATATATAGTAATGCATGTTCTGACCCAAGGTACTTTGTGAAGTGAGGCAGAATATTATGTTTTTCACCATTGAAGATACATGGATATGAAGTATAATGAAGATGTAACTAGCTTGGAAAATTTACCAATCAGCATGGAAATGGAAAGTAAATAATCATAAAGCCTCATATGGTCTAGCTGTATTTTTCATACAGAAGGTACATGTGTACCAATAATATCA